AATTGAAGTCGGCTCGGTAGAGACCTACAATGAAGTGGAATTTTCTCCACAAGTCTTTTAAAAGAAGCAAAGATACGGGATATTTGATTCAGCTGGGCTTTTTTACCGTGCGCTGTTCTTTTTTATGTGGGCATGAGTGAATCATGCGTCACTTTTATCTCCAGAACGCGCTTAGTATATTCTTCTACGCAGTTCAAAGGCCGTGCACAACTTCACCCCAGGTGGACAGCTATTCGTTGTACTTTTCTGCAATCACACGTTGTAAATCGGCGCTTCTTTACCTGCCGTGCTGCCGTGCCCCGGTTCAGTGCTCCGCTCGACCAGACCAGAAGTGAGCGGGCATGGTGGAACGGGTAGCATGTGATCGGGTGTTACCGTGACAGAACACCTCTACGCGGCAGGCGTGCAAATGATAATGTTGTTGGTCCTCGCCCTGATTCTCCGTTTTTGATGCCGCGGACTGATAGGTGGGTCCGTGCAACCCCCCGCCGTTTCCAAAACAATAACAATAGAGCTTAGCAAACAACGTCAGAAGATTGGTTTAGCGATATCTCGCGATTGGCAATAAGTTTGTTTTTGAGTCAAAAACTGACCACATGATGTCAGCCAAATGTCAAGTTTTCCAGAAAATCGCACTTTACAACCTCATAAGAACGCACCGTGTCTTTTAGCGACACAGAACCTATACAGGCTTGTTCCTTACTTAATTCAAGCACGATGATGTGTAGTTGTATGCATGCTGCGCATCAATTTATGATGAGTGGCTCCGTTAATGTAGCAAGGTCGACCCGCCTGGCGCGTTCCACGGCGTCGTCGGTTGCCGCCCAGCGGCCGCTCAGGTCGTAGATTGCCGTGCAGCGTTCCTCAAAAACTGCTGAACTGCTCCGCAACCAGAAAAGCTTGGGATGGGTTTTTATGTCAAAACACGCGTAATACATGCCCTATAGACCAATGAAAACTTGAGCGTGGATGTGCAGCATAACACAAAGATATTCTCAAAAAAAATCTTAGGAGGGCTTGCGTCAGGGCGAGGGCTAATATTGCGCTCTTCAAGCCCGCCAAAATTGGTCAGCTTTTTAAAATCCGCCAGAAGCCCACGCACGTTTTTACCCGCGCCTTGTGGGCTCGCGGGCTCGAAAGTAGCAGTGCTGATCAGTCTTTAGTCCTCAGTCATCAGTTAGTCGGAAGAAGTCGTCTTTTGGCCTGGAAAATAAAAATTGAACTTTTCCACAACGTGATAGTTAAACACAATCAGAGTCCTTTTCAAAGCCCTCGGTACTCCCTTCATACACGTTTTCGACCCGGCTATGTGTCGTAGTGACGGTGAGAAATATGTTGCAGGAACAACACCATTATGATAAACGGATCCAAGTGATGTGGGGGAAAATGGGTATACGTGCTTCCCAAAGAAAATACCGAATAAGCTCTCCTTTGCTTAATGTTCGTTTTGAAGATGTTACAACACTTTTTCACCGTTTTCGCCGGCATCTTTGCAAACCGCCAGTTCCGTTGTCATGACAGTTGCAACTGGTGCACTTATCGATTGATCAAACACAACTGATGAGCTTCATGGTTATAATACACATTTGTGTAGCTACAAACTGTTGCTATGAGCGAAAAAATCGTTATTTTAAGTTATTTGCTGTTTTCTGTGATACCATCTTGACGCACTGCGCCAGGCTGATTTCAGTTGCTTAGGCATCAATGTTTGAAAACTGGTCCAATTATGTTATGCTCCTCCAGACTGGGTGGGTCCATCCACCCCTGGCCACTATAGCCGTCTGTCGGTCTACACGCGATTCACAGTCCAACAGTTTAAACACAGCCAATCGAGGCGGCTCATCTGCAGCTGACACCGACAGATACTCTTCCGAGAATTTTCACTCCTTTAATCTTGAATTTCTGCTTACTCGCACAGTGGAAGCAGGCAGGTAGAAATTCGTTCCACTCTGTTATTTTTCATAAATAACACCAAAGCCCAAAAATGCCAGCAGACGAATTTTGGTGTATACTACAGAGAGCGGGTCGTCGAGTATCAAAAAAAGTAAAATCGGCCAGCAAATTTCCATAATTCTTTTATTTATAGCCTGCCTAAGTCAGTATAGCCGTCCAACGCGATGACTGACATTTCGCACCGACGAACAAGCGCTCGCGGCGTGGCGCTATTGCCGTCGAACGGAGGCACATGCTCGCGAAACAATGCGTGCTTGCAATGCTATTCTTTGGAACCGGTTTATAACCTAGCCAACCGCTCCGTTCGACCTTGGACTGCACCACGCTATGCGATTATCGCTCCGCTGAAAGCTGGTGCTGTCGTTCACAGAACAAAACGAAGTGATTCGGCATAATTGCGTGACTTCAGCCGTATACATGAAAGTTTTTAAACTTCATGGTTCATCAAAAGAAGATTTGTCAGGAAATCAGCAAGCTATGGCTGAATGCCAGCTCACCCTGCTTATAACGCCTAATTGGCCAGGATTTTATTTGAGCTTTGGTTGCGAATGCCAACAGTATGTATTTTTGAACATAGACCGCATTTGACCCCAAGTCACTTAAACTTTGACTGCCAGGGCCTGAAATTTAACATATCATCACCAGAGCGCTATTATTTGACAATTTGCGGTCCCAGTTTTACTAGGAACAAGGAGAGCAGCAGGCAAAGCCCTCCCCTCGCGACCAGCCACACTTCCTTTCAGGGTGTGCCACGCTGGAGGCCTCCTTAGAGCGCATTTAAGTCCCATTCCTGCCATCTATCTCCCCACTAGATGTACTTTTTAACCTCGTCGATTGACACCATTTATTGTGCGCTCTCATAACTGTCTTTACACTCTCACCTAAGAACCTTTATCACCCATCACAAACGTTTCTTTTCTGTCAACTGTACGAGCAATGTGTATTACGTGTATCTGGTGGTTCGCTGGTACCTTACACCCAGGTAGCCTGCTTGTACTTGATTTCTCGTCCTGTTTTACCCTGATATACGCCATTTTGTTTGAGAGATGGGCTAATCAACTTCTTAGTAACCATCTCAGACGTCAAGGAAATCAAATGTCATATCAATTTTTGCTGTGCATTTTCCTTCTTCAAAATGCGATCGAAATATCGTTCACCCAGTGGCTTGCGTGCAGTGAGTGCGCGGTTATATCTGCAACATTGCAATGGAGACACGGTCATTTGCATTACTTTCATCAAGTGCAGAAACCGTCGTGTAGGTTCATGGGTGCGTATTGATTCTCGCCATATGAGGGGAATCACTGCGCCCCCCCCCCTTCCCCGTCCTACAGCATCCACCCCGAGGATTTCTGGGGATATCTTTCCGGCTTGCCATGTAATCGCGCTCAAACATTCGGAGGCCTGTGGAGCATTTATTGCGTGTGTTTTGACTCCAAAATCGCGTTTCTAGCGTTTTTGGTCTCTGGGCGGTGATGATTTTTTGGTCAGACTGCACGGCGATTAACGATATTGACGGAATTAACTGCATAACAATTAACGACACTTTTGCACGGCGATTTTTTGCACGACGATTAACGGCCCCCGTAAGCGGCGGCAATAAAATCCGCCGACCGTGCGTGAAGGGCTGACATTATTGCATTAACAGAGCCCTACACCATAACCATATTTTCAAAACTCATTAAAAATGCATATGATTGTACACGGCATAGAACAAGAAACACGTCTATATAAGTTGCAAGCCTCCACCTGACATGATTTTGTAGATATAAACATATATAGCTGAAAGGCATGTTGGGAAAAAATTGTCCATTGACCTGACAAAGCGGGCTCAATTATTGACCTATCAGCATGATCCCGTTGTTTCATGTTTTGCGGAGTTCTGTCGTTCTTAGTTTGAAAACAGCAGAGTGGCCTCTATCAGTCCATGCTATGAAAAAGGGTGAATCAGATCAAGGCTTAACTTGTACTGGAATCCCCTAAAACTTAAGTGCTTAATTTTCCACGTCGTGTTTCGCTCTAATCGACAAACAGCTCGCATTTTACTAAATAACAGACGGCTCTTCAATGTATGTGGAAATGGCCCGCTATCACACTGTGCTGACCATCATAGAGCTGACCAGCTCTTACTGTTGGATAACTCAGACCAAGCTTCCATGCTCACAGTAGCCTGTCTTCCGACCCAAGTAAATCTTAATTCTTATTTCGGTTTGCAATGCGCAGCGCAATAAAGGTAGGCTTCTGGTGGTGTAAAAGCGCGCCCATTTCAATTTTAAAAATCTGAATAGCGCTTTGCTTTGATGGCATTGTTCATGGTGGTAAGCAGAGGAATAATCCATCGGTATATGAATAATCCATCGGTGCTTTTCCTGGTGAAATCCAGCCTATCCGTAACTGTCAGACAAATCATCAAAATGCTGCGTGGCGACACAAGGCGTCCCGCTCGTCGGAACAAGGAAATCACGTCACCATGCAGCGTGGCAGCCATGCCCGGTGTCCGCTCACCATGCAGCGTGGCAGCCATGCCCGGTGTCCGCTCACCATGCAGCGTGGCAGCCATGCCCGGTGTCCGCTCACCATGCAGCGTGGCAGCCATGCCCGGTGTCCACTCACCATGCAGCGTGGCAGCCACGCCCGGTGTCCACTCACCATGCAGCGTGGCAGCCATGCCCGGTGTCCGCTCGCCATGCAGCGTGGCAGCCATGCCCGGTGTCCGCTCACCATGCAGCGTTGCGGCCATGCCCGGTGTCCGCTCATCATGCAGCGTGGCAGCCATGCCCGGTATCCGCTGACTGCGTGCTGACAGGAGCTATTACTCCACAGTGCAAAGATTCCGTTCTCCGTCTCATCCGTCCTGCGCTGTGATATATTACCAGCCAAGTGGTGGCTTAGGGGGATAATTTCGCCATGGATGCTCTCTAATGGCGACCCGTATCTGAACAACTTGATGCACATAGGGGCTAATTTGGCCAACCTTCCGATACCTGTTCGGAAACGAGCGGTATGGTTTTTTACTGGCGGCGATCTCATATGTTTCACTCCCCCTACAGGGAGGAGGCGAGGCGCCGAAGAACATGTCGGGACGTCTGGTGGCCGCCACCTGGTGGCTCTTCGGTTTCATCATCATCGCCTCCTACACGGCCAACTTGGCTGCTTTTCTTACCGGTATGCTTCTCGTCTTCCATTGTCATGTCGGTGGCGTTCCTAACTCGACGCCTATCGGGCTGGCTACCAGCGGTAGCCAGATGACTGTTGTTGCGGCGCCGAGTTATGCCTATCGGGCTGTCTACCATGCGGTACCATCTGACTGTTGTTGTCGCCGAGGTAGTGCCTATCGTGCTGGCTACCAGCGTTACCAGCTGACTGCTGTTGCGGCCGAGGTAGTGCCTCGGGCTGGCTACCAGCGTACCGCTGACTGTTGTTGCGCCGAGGTAGTGCCTATCGGGCTGGCTAACCAGCGGTAACGAGCTGAACGTGCTGTTGCGCCGAGGTAGTGCCTATCGGGCTGGCTACCAGCGGTAACCAGCTGACTGCTGTTGCGCCGAGGTAGTGCCTATCGGGCTGGCTACCAGCGGTAACCAGCTGACTGCTGTTGCGCCGAGGTAGTGCCTATCGGGCTGGCTACCAGCGGTAACCAGCTGACTGCTGTTGCGCCGAGGTAGCGCCGGTCGTCCCAGTCAGCATGGCTTATTCTCAACATGTGAGCCATCACCGTGATATTTGATGTAGGTGTGAGCATCAAAAGTAGAGGGGCTTGGGGCGGAGCCACAGCATTTGAACTGTTTGTTGGACCTATAGGGCGGCGCACGGATTGGCGGTGTATGGAATAAGAGTGAATGGAATGAAAGAAACGAATACAAATTGAGCCCAGTTTCCTGAATGTTTGGACTAGCTTCCACAGCAATGAGCTCAGGTTTAAGTGTATTGCTCCGTCACAAGCACCATCACTAGCTTTACGTACTTTCATTAAGGAAGCAATCCAGCGTTTTTGAGAACTGTTATCGTATGGATGATACCTATGCTTATCGTCTTACTGCACTGCATCATCTCTCTTTCCAGTGTCTCGACTGGATTCTCCCATTGAATCGCTGGAGGGACTCGCCAAGCAGTACAAGGTACAATACGCTCCAATGAATGGCACATCAACAATGAACTACTTCAAACGAATGGCCTACATAGAGCAGAAATTCTATGAGTGAGTACACTGTTTTCTGTCGTGGGAGAGTGGGCAAGTGCGAATGTCAATGGCTTGTCGATTGCATGCATTTTATCCAGTTCCACAAAACAGCATTGACATTATAACCAACGTTTTCTTAGAAAACGTCCTGCCTGCAGAAGTTCGAGAACTGTGACCTTATGAACTATGCGCGCCTGATGCTGAAAAATCATGACCTCAAAGCCAAGGCCGTGATCTCACCCAAGTACATCCAAAGAGTCCGCCGCTAGCTGAGTGAGCAGCATATATGGGGGTGGCAGTCGAGATGCGGACCCTACCGCAAGAGTGGGGTGCAGCACAAGTGGCAGTCGAGATGCGGACCCTACCGCAAGAGTGGGGTGCAGCACAAGTGGCAGTCGAGATGCGGACCCTACCGCAAGAGTGGGGTGCAGAACAAGTCTGACGTTACTGAACGGCTCCACTCCTGTGTGCACGAATTAGTTGCATTGGGACAGGCCAAGTGCATTTACCTATTTGCTGGTAAATTTCATTCGCACGCAGTACTTTAATTTCGATTTTCATTGCCACGCTGCGTGCAACATTATGTTACCATCATATGGATATGCTATTTAATTTACATGTTCCAATCAGACCATGAGAATTCTAAAACCGTCCGATCGGATGGCCTTGTAACCTCATGGCCACGCAAATACTTGGCGTGGAAGATTTATGACACAACACGGGTCTTATGCTTCTCTCGCTACGCGAGTTAGGAATTGTGTCAAACAATTTTCGGCGGCGCTCTCCCAGACAGACAAAGGCACATCGCTTCGGCGTTTTGTCGTACCTTCGACGCCTCAGACAAAACAGCCGCGTTGGCGTCTTCCCACCGCTGGTAGCTTGAAGCCACGGGAGCGTGGCGCCTCACACCAAACTTTTCTATTCCGTCCGTAAATAGCCGTGGATGTGGTCGTTGCCTGCTGTAAATGAAGTGGTTAATAACTATTATCCGTAGCGAGCTTAAAGCTTAAATTCAATTTGCCAACAAACGACTAATGTTGTACTCATTTAATAGTTGCATCGAGTAGCGCGGACCAATTGAAAGAGCAGGGCAGATCAGGAAATAGTAACACACTGCTGCAAGCCGAGGCTTATGCTACGGGGGCAAGACGGGAGATATTGCACCTGACCTGACTTGACCTGACTATTGACCTGACTAGTCTTTAGGAGGTAATCGGAAGAGCTTCAAGGGTATTCCTTGAGAACAACGTTCGCTTTGAAACGGAGTTTTGCACAGGTCATATGGTGTCATCACATGGGATGAGCAGAGACGCATCCCACCGAACGCCAAATCGAGCTCTTGCTTATTAGCAGCATATAATTCTAAACAGTTGTGCACTCGCATTCGTAAGACATGACAACGAAAAGCGCTGAACGCTGCTGGGTGGATCTGGAATGTAAGAATGGAATCCAAGGTGACGTTAAAAACATCCAAAGAAAGAAAGCTGTCAGTAAATAACATTGGTTTGCGACCCAAGTATTGATTTGTTTTCGTGTCGTCCAGGGTTGTAAAAAGGTTCTTATAAGTGATCAGAATAGCCCTCATGTTAAAATAACTTACCTTCGCGACGTAATAAGTTGTACTCTCATCAAAAGGTCAAAATGTCATGATGTCAAGTTCCTACTGCCATGCAATGTGATTATGCTCAAATAGTATCTTGCAAACATTGCGAAGCGTCCTGAATGAAAAACACGCTCTTGATTCGCTTGATCATGCTCACTACTCAGAATACAAGGTTTTTTGCTTTTCTCGTCGGGTCACTTTTCTCGTGACCCCGTTTCAAGCACGCGCTGCTTAATTAGGCGCACGCAGAGGGCCATCATATCGGAGCCGGAGCCGCTTGGCCTATCACCAACCACCGACAGGAAGTGAACTGTGACATGTAAGCGGCGCCGACCATGCGGCGAGTCCGCGTCGCCCGGTGCTGGCGCTGCCGGTAGTCGCACCTCCGTGCTGGCGCTGTCCTGCGACGGCCGTCAGGCTGGAAGGACCGGCGCGTCGGGACCTGGAGAGCCCTGCCAGGTCACCTGCGGGACGCGGCCTCGACTGGCACGCCGATATTTGTCTTTACGGCTCGTTGCAAGCATTCGGGATGCACAGTGAACATGGAACATTTCACCCGAAAGTTGAACTCTCGATGGTGTCCTAATGCACATTTTGTTTACACATTATTGCATTTCCCTTCAAAGGTCGCTTTGGTGCCAATTTTTCGGGTATCCCATTCGCCTAGATTAAGTAACTTGACACTGCTAATTTCATATTCATCTTTCATATCCTTCAACAGCTGACATCCTAAGCAGCATGATGTGTTATTCAAAATCAGTGTGCTTATGCTACAAAGGTTGCATTTGAGCCTCATCTGATCAAGTTGCTGATTTTTTCATGACTACCATCGATGTCTTTGGATTGGAGAAAGGTGACGACTTAAAAGGATGCCTCTTTTGCGACCTCCAGAAGTGACACATTTCCTTTAGTAACTGCCTGAACGCAAACCTCGAAAAGTTAAAATTTATCAGCCGAATGCATGGGCGCTGAACACTCAATTAAAGCTTCACAAAAGAGGATTACCTATGAGAGTGAATGGCGCACAGTAGCATATTTGAAAGAGGGACTTTCAGTCCCCTAAGCCTTGGCAACACTTCTAAGCTGCAAGACACTTTTACAGTGATTTGAATGAGACGCACTCAGTTGATCTTTGATTTCTCAACGTTTGATGCTTGTGGTCCCTTGAAATAACATGTCAAATAGCATGCACGTCAAAGACTTAGTAACACTACATCTTATACTGTGGAGCCCCACGCCGTCCGAATTCCACAGCCACACCAAGCCGGGCCCTATAACAAATCAGTCCTGCCATGGCTGGTCAGAGCGCTCACGTCCTCCGCCAGATAAACCCTACATACGTTTCACGGCATCCTTTTTAAAGGTTGTAGCAGGCACGGCCAACTGCAGCAAAAGAAAATATCTACATTCCATGGTATTACATTCTTTGGGACTATCGTGATGTAGGTCTCCATGCGCACCAAGAGTAGGGCTCCTCACAATCGTTTGCCGTTTAAGGCCGTTGATACGACAATTATTCCAAGAAGAATCATTCCGAGGACACCACAACGTGCCGAGAACTTTTGGCTGACTGGTCATAGCGGGATGTATGGGCCGTCGCCAATCAAATGGACTCTCGCGTAAAGTGATCTGCGCCGAGAACGACTCGTATAGGGATTTTCATTTAGTAGCAGATTTTCTTTGATGTTAAGCAGTGTTTTAGGTGTCCGGCGGTTTGTTCAGTAGCACGTGGGCGGCGTGCCCGAACGGCCGGATGTCCTTCTCGAGAGAGGTTGAGGGGCTGGCCGGGAAATAAATGATTGACAGTGTGTGGTCAGTGAGGTTTTCCTTACACCTCGAGTTTGATTACGTCCCGCCTCAATGGCAACGTTTATGCCAAGCTATCGGAACGTGTTACCTAGGATCTCAACTAACAAAGGATGTGGAGCATTAGAAGGAAATTTCTTTAAAGAGAAGCCGCAGGAGTAGAACACATGAAAAATCGGGATGTCCAAGATGTTTGAAAAACCCGGAGTACCATCATGTGTTGGAAAGGTCCAGGCTTCGTATAGTACCAACAATTATATCGCCAAACTGTCGTGCTACTTACTTTACGCCCTCGGATCGTAAACCTGTAGGTAGCTTGTGCCATAACAGCTAACTGTGGATTCTTACTGTTGATAAGTGTTCCGCTCGCTGGGCTTAATTGTGCTAACCATGACCATGCTGCGGGGAACCATATGTGAGAAATAAACTAACCTTTTTAATCTACCCTTGTTTCCTCATCGTGAGTGTAATGTGATATTACACTGACAATGAGTGAATGAGTGAATGATGATACCTAAGCGTATCGAAATGTTGGCTCATCGAGACATAAATGATGGCGCGTGCTGTCCTGGGCATAAATCTCTTATTTCTTTTAACAGTCAGAGGATCCTCCACATATGAGATCTTATATATATATCCGTATTATGTACTGTGAATGCTCTGCATGTATGTTGTGTACACTTTATTAGAGAGAGATCAATAAATCACTAATAGTATGGTGATGTGATCATAAATCATGAAGGAATCACCTATGCCAGCTTCAGAACATCACACCACACAGCAAATCGCGAAATGGATAGCAATACCAAGTGATACGTAGGCATTTGGTATGAAGGTATTTTGACTAAGTCCTGCACAAGCAAAACATTCACCACCAGGTGAATACGAAAAAGTCACCCACAAACCGTTACGTTAAACTGCATCAGATCAGCAGCTTTTGTGACACGAGGCCAAGGCAGGCACTTGCATAAGGCCTGCGAAGTGAGGCAAAACACTTGAACGAGCAAGGTAAACTGTCATTGGCAAGTGCTTTGCATATGACTGCTGAGAATCAAGTTAGCTGCACGGGTGAGTATAATGCGCCCTGTGTCGCTTCGATGAAAATTTTTTTCTACCACGGAAAACACTTAAGGTGCTTATTTAACGGTCACATATTGCACTTTGTGACATGGAAACAAACTGTATTGCATGATTCCCCGCTTGGACTCGTATGGCGCGTTATTATTGTTATGTTTCTCGGAGGCTAGAAGCTCGCATGTGTGCTTTCCACGCCACGGAACGTTGGAGCCACCAGTTTAAATAAGTCTAGAATGATGTCTATAAATTATATATATATATATATATATATATATATATATATATATATATATATAGCCTCTATGCGAACATATAGCCTAAGCTTAATGCTGTATCTCGATGCAGGAAACAGTGTTTTCAACCTCATGCCATAATCAGAAATACACTTTTCTCTATCGTTTCACTTTGCACGTGCCGGCTTGAGCACCAACTGCTTCTGGCCGTTTCATTGAAATACATATCGGATGGAAATATCCAGCGCCATATTGGGAGACGAGCGTACCAGATGGTTCGATTCGATTGCCAACATTCCCGGCTGCTGATTCAACAGCTACAGGTTTGTTACGATGCTACTCACAACACACCATTTTTAACATACTGCCAGGTTAGCGCTATCTAGCCTATAAGTTCACAGCAACCAGTGCAGTGGTTTGTTTTTTTTTGTAATGATTTGCCTGTGTCCATCTTTAAGATAGATCATGTCGCGAATTGTCCATGACTATGTACAAGGAATTGTCGTGAAATCGAGCATGCTGATTTTCATAGAAGCACCATGACTGTTTTTGGTGGAGCATGCAGATCTCTAAAAGCACGGCCGGTGCTCATCCTGAGCCTCCCTTGTAATCTAGCATTCAGGCGTTGAAGAAACTGATCGGATTTGGCATCGCCTGATATAACAATGCCACTTTCCTTGAACAGTGGCACTGTATTACACGTGTTGTTCCATCGCGTGCCCGAGCCGCCGGATCCATTTGCACAAACCTTTCTGCAGAATCTGGAAGGATATGTCGCTGAACGACAGCATGACCGAGGTTGAGCGAGCCAAGCTGGCCGTTTGGGACTACCCAGTCAGCGACCGCTACACCAAGATGTGGAACGCCATGCAAGAGGCCGGCCTGCCGGACGACTTCGAGTCGGCCGTGTCGCGCGTTCTGGACAGCCCCTCCACCAGCGAGGGGTTCGCTTATCTCGGTACAAAAGCCACGGTCGATGCGTCGGAGGCACATTCGTGGAAGGGGACTGGCGGCGGCGTCCGCGCCGTAAGCTGGGCCACACGCGGACATGTATTGCGTACAAGGGATGCCAGTATTGGACACTACTTTTCGGCGTCTCTATGATGTAGATGCTGTACTTCGAACTGGCATGGGCTTCACTGTGTTAATGTGTGATCAAATTGTGGCAGCTGGTAATCTGACACCAGTGAGAAAGACTGCACTGGAAGCGAACGTAGCCTGCATGCTCTGAACGAAGACCTTGCTCCAGCTTTCCGTCACCATGACAACCGGAACCGACGAGAGCAGCACATCTATGCACATACAGTATAAACTTATAGACAGCATTTGTAGTAGCGAAAAACACGCACCCGGGCTGACATACATGACATTGTATAAGCTTGGGATATCAGCTCTCTATTGTCACCACCGCCCGTTACATGTGCGAACGTTGAAAGGTGTTTTTCGTCCCAGGGGAAGCAACCGAGGTAGACTACCGTGTCATGACCTCCTGTGACTTCATCTCTGTTGGAGACCAGTTTTCCCGCAAGCCGTACGCCCTCGCTGTGCAGAAGGGCTCACCCCTCAAAGACCAGCTCTCGGAAGCGTAAGCGGAGCTGCCAAAGCCTGCTCCGTTACCTGGCCCCGGCGCCAGTGTCTGAGCCTGCTCCGTTACCTGGCCCCGGCGCCAGTGTCTGAGCCTGCTCCGTTACCTGGCCCCGGCGCCAGTGTCTGAGCCTGCTCCGTTACCTGGCCCCGGCGCCAGTGTCTGAGCCTGCTCCGTTACCTGGCCCGGCGCCAGGGTCCCTTGCCCGGCGCCAGTGTCTGAGCCTGCTCCGTTACCTGGCCCCGGCGCCAGTGTCTGAGCCTGCTCCGTTACCTGGCCCCGGCGCCAGTGTCTGAGCCTGCTCCGTTACCTGGCCCCGGCGCCAGTGTCTGAGCCTGTCTTACCTGCATGCATACCACTGCACGGCCCGCCCCGTCGAGTAACACCTATTTTTACCACCCAATGCGTTTTTACCGGCATGAATGGTGCCTGATGGTGATAAGCATACGTGCTTTGTGCAACGAAAGAGTCTGAGAGAGCGAATAGTGAGGAACCGTGAGAATGGACCGCGTCATAGCTACCGCTTAGCATGCAGTTAATTGTCCTATCGGCACCGGGTCCTTCACGCCAAGCAGTGTGGATGCAAACTACGTCATTTCACGTTCTTATGCTGCAGTTCGGATTGCCTGTTACTGCCGCAGGACCGCCACGCTGTGCTGGCTGTTCCCTTCCGCATCGCTTTATTGCCGACGAGTGTTTTTCACCAGCACCTGTCCGGCGGCGTCCAGCAGACCTCGGCCGGGCGAGTCGGGAGAAGGTGAGCTCATTCCGAACGTCAGCCGCCGCGTTCTGCTGACGCCAGCGGCAGCCGACGTGTAATCGTGTGCCCGCGGCGCCAGGCGACGCCACCGACATCCGCTACCAGGTGATAACCAGCTGCGATCTGCAAATGGTCGGCGAGGAGTTCTCTCGCAAGCCGTACGCCATCGCTGTACAGCGGGGGTCGAGCCTGAAGGAGATCTTTAATGAGGCGTGAGTGGAGGCAGCCGCGCTCTCGTTCAGCGGGCAGAGTCGGGCCGCAGACCGGGACCGGACCGCAGACCGTGGCCGGACCGCAGACCGGGACCGGACCGCAGACCGTGGCCGGACCGCAGACCGGGACCGGACCGCAGACCGTGGCCGGACCGCAGACCCGGACCGTACCGCAGACCGGGACCGGACCGCAGACCGGGACCGGACCGTAGACTGGGCCGGACCACCGGGGCGGCGGTATGCGGGCGGCCAGCCGGCCCTGCCTTTGTGGTGTGGACAGGCCGGTGCTGGACTCCTGCTGAGAGCCACGGGACCGATAGAAAACGGAAACTGCCGGCCTTTCAGTGAACCAGAAAAGTGCCCGGTGTCACGAGAAGGCATGGGTAGATTACCGCACCAAATACATAAGAAATCGTAGCCAAGGAGGCTCCAGATGTAGGCTGATGTGCTATTATTCAGGTAAACCTGAACATGCCTGCCATTGCTCAGTTCAACAGCGCCCGGCTGCTCAGCACTGTCAGCCAGATTCGTCGGTAGTAATGATCAGCAGCCCATAGCTGCGCGCAGTGTGCAAACGTTTTGTAGAACCGTGTCGCTCGTGTGCCTGTGTATCTATTAAGCAGTGTTGTGTCAATGTGGCATGCAGACCTTGCATTTAGTTTTGATTAAAATTGTTTTCTTTGCATCTTTAATGAAGCGATCCATTGTGGTCAGTTGACACTCTTCATCAGCTATTGAGTTGCATGTCTTTTGAAGGTGTGTATTGATCGCAAAATGTCCACGGCTAATTGTACCTATGATCCGGATTCAGTGATGTTCTAGAACTAAGTCGTTTTTAGTAATCATAACCAAAATATCCGTGCAGTAGGTTTGTTGTGCAAAAACGATCGAAACTAGCCATTTCACGCAGGTTAAGCTAACTCTTTCGGCCAAAACATTTGTCCACCTGTAGTAGGTTTGCCAGCTAAAAGTATGCCACAGACTACTTTTACTTAGCAATCGGAGAAGGATTTTCACAAACACTGAAGAGTCATTCTAACCATTTCGCACCGTTTGTTCGTGAACAAACTGTGGTCGAGTATCACATGTCTATTACATATTTCATGAGCTGCTGTATCCAACTTATGTTTTAGTTGTGAAAAATATTTAAAAGGGTAAGAGAAATCGAATTCGTTCCAGGCTCAACTAATGTAATAGCGGACATAACAGACGACGGACCCCACGTCGTCGATGCTTTGGCTGCAATACTGGATAGCAAACGAATCGTTACACTGTGTAAAATATCGCGTCCAGCGTGGCCGTGGCCGGTGCCGGTGTTGTTGGCCTCGACTCTCGGTCGTTCCCAGCTATTATCGACAGCCCAATCGAGAGCGAGGCTTTTTACGCGTCTGTAAAATTGGAAACCATCGACGGATTAAAAGCTAGAAGCTCGACCAATACCCAGACGCTTTGAGCCCACCACAAAAACTTCTTTTAGTCAACAGGCGTCAGACCGTTTCAGATTCACAATCGTCGTCTATATGAACTTAAAATTTCAGAAAGTCTTTAAAAATTGCTGCACTGCGCTGGTAGCCACCGATTTGGGCGGAGGATGCATGGAGAGTGCATCGGTTGCGCGTCTGAACTGGCCACCACGTGCCGGTGAGCGGGCTGGCGCAGGATGGTTGATGTGTGCGCTGCACTCCGTACTGACTGTCGGCTCGCTGCGGCAGGATTCTTAAACTGCTGAATCGGCGCAAGCTGGAGGTGCTGAAGGAGAAGTGGTGGAACCAAAACCCGGCTCGGAAATATTGCGAACGAGAAGACGACCAATCGGAGGGCATTTCCATCCAGAACATCGGTATGAGTGCACCCTGGTGCATCTGTTTTGTTTCTGTTCTCTCAGCGTCTTGTCTGGCCAGCTGCCAGCTGCAAATCGATGCAGGGTCAATAACATGCGTTGCTAACGCAACCTTTACGTTATCAAGATAATGGTGGATGCGTGTAGTCGTGCGTTTTGATTATTGCTTCTACCTAAGGTTGTTTCAATTTTTCTAGAGCATTTTGCGCTTCTCACTGCATACTCCAACTTAAATTTACGTTATGTGATGCATGGCAAGGACATGTCATATTACTGTCATATATACGATGCGCATGTCATATTTCGTTGGAATCGGTTAACTTACGTGTTGTATTTCATTCGGTATTTTGCGTCAACCTGTCAAAGGAATCGGTGCATTGATCGCACCTATTTTTCTTTTTTCTAATGCGTCACTGATGAAACTAGAGTTCCCCCTACCCTCATCTCAGCGACATGGAGAGCCGTACGTTTACACCAAAACATACCAAGCTGTGGCATTTCTGGTTAAGAAGTGAAAACAAACCTAAAGAAGCGTACGAAGAAAAGTAATTCCACTATAAGTGGTGCACAAAATCGAGTATCAGAAGGGCTAACGCAGTCATAGCCTGCTAGCCCCAGTAGTTATTACACTCGTTCCGCATCAGTAACTTACCCGAGTCAAACAGATCGGAAGCGCATGTCCTGGTCATTTTTCTAAGCTCTGTAGTTGTGCGGTGTGTGGTCTAATACACCGGGCACGCAATACAGATTCGAGCACTTGGGCTTAGGCACGTTCAAAATAGACCACGATGCTACTTCAATCTGTTAAGTGGGTCAAGCGCCTGGGTGCTTGGTTGATGTGTAATCGATGCGTGTGCGTTCCAGAAATAATGGTTATTCATTTAACTTATGGTGATATTTGGCTTGGTATCGCGCCTTGATGGAAGGGTGCGAGACACAAACCCATTGACATCTGCGAGCATGTGAATTACAGTTGTCGCTGGGAACGATCTCAGCACAGTTGCTGCTGAAATCAGCACTACGTCTGCGCATGCGCAATATATCGGATATTTTTCTCGGGCGGACAGGACGGGTTGCATCGCGGACAATCCGTCTATATCCGGGTTCCATAAGAAAGAGTAGTCACCACCGGACCGGCCATATTCCAGATGAATGGTGCGTTTTTCCGCCGCGGGCGCCGCAAACGAGCGCACGGCGCGCCGTTATTGCCGACGCGCCGGTCAGTATGCGTCGGCGTCAGCGGCAGCGGCGGCGGCGGCGGCCGGCCGCGCTGCCGCTGCCGCTGCTGTCCCCCGGCGCTGCCGTCTGACGATGCGCCGCCGGCGGGGGGCGGCCAGGCCCGGCCGGCCGATGTTTCGCCCGGGCGCCCGGCGCGCCGCAGGGGCGTCCGCCGATCAGACAGGCGTGTTTTTCCGTCTCGCAGGGCTATGCTGGCCGCGCACAATAAGATCCACCGCCATCCGCAGAGAGGCGGAATATGCTGCGGCCCGTTGTTGATGTGCCCGTGCACTCTGAATTCGCAGACCGGGTCACTTTGCATTTTATCAGCGCCATCGGCAGCGTGGCGGCGAGCCGGCCGCCGCTAGCCGGCAGAAAACATAGGCCAAATGGAGGAAAGACGCCCGGAAGATGCTGTATCACGGCGCAGATGTGATCGTTTTCGTAGACAGAACCAAAATGAGACAAAAGAGGTTTCACCCTTGCGTAGTGCCTTTGAGTAGAGGACGTATCCGCAGTCGTTTGTTTTGAGATAGCACAATTGTATTGTCTTTGAAGTTTATGTTTGAAGGATTACGGTGGTTAAGAAAGCTCTGTAGTTAATTTTTCCCAACACAAGCAGGAAGTTCTTTCGAAAAGCTGTAAGACCTTTACAAATCCATACGGCATGAAACATTGCCACCGTTACACTTCATAGATCGCTGTACCGGTATGAACTAAAGTGCCGCCAAACTAAAACACTCCATTTCGCACCCGTGTCACAGGGGGTCGGTGCCAAGCGCAGAACGGCAAAATTCTTACAACGTAAAGAGAATTATTGCGGCAAAAAGGAATGTACCAAGAAAATCAGAGTGGTATGCGGCAGCTTTTGCGTGTTTAACACTAGCCTAAGACGAGAGGAGAATTCATTTAGAGGGCAGCGCCAGGGCGCAAGCGAAAACAAATATTGAATATAAAAGCTGTCAAAAGCCTCTGCCTTATTATGCTCTGACGAGTGATCAATGTTAAATCATATATAATGTACACCATATTGCATGGCGCGATAATAGACTCGGCAATGCAACGCTTGGAGCCACAGGCACGAACGAGAGAATGCTCCCCCCCCCCCCTCCGGCCTCCCCCCCCCCTCCGGCCTCCCGCCCCCTCCCCCCGTGTGCTTGTATTTTTTAACGCCGGTAACTCTTGTCGGAAAGCAAAAATTCAGGAAACGCTTACGACTGACGGAAGTTTAGCTTCTTAGGATTTATCTGCCCTTGGGAAAATCCTGGCTGGGCCCTTGCTTTGATATAATTTGACAACCCGGAGCGACCGGCCCCACGGCGGCGGCAGTGCCAGCTTAAGCGCTGGCGGTGCTCCAAGTACTCCAATACCCACTTGTATATCCCGCCTGGCCGCTGACAAGCCTGCGGCTGCCGGACGGTTCGCAGGTGGCGTGTTCATCGTCATATTCGTGGGCATCGCGCTGGCCTGCATCACGCTGCTGGGCGAGTACTGGTACTACAAGTACTGGAAGCCCAGTCGGGTCACCAGCCCGCAGAACCCCAAGATCCTGGCGGTGCGCCCCGATCCAGCAGCCAAGACCAACTTCAACACCGAGTACAAGTAGGCACCCGGACGGGGACCTTTGGGGTGCGTTGGCACCCGGAGGACAAGGACCTCTGAGGTGCGTGAGCACCCGCGCAGGGTCCTGTGGGGTGCGTTGATCCGTGACTCGCAACTAGAAACTCATAATTGTAAGCTAGCCGCTCTCATGAGTTCATGCTGCGGGAAATGTTTTAGCCGTGCTTTCGTGCACATGGTTTTGCTTGGGACTATGCGGAGGGGTTGATATGATCCCCAGAGACCTCGGGCTTTACTGAGCATATTCTGTCGCATTGCATGGCTCAAACTCACCGGTGGAGTGAACTGAATTTCATTATCTAAGGATATCCAAGTTCTATCAATGGTGCGTTCAGGCGCGCAGAGTATAAATTCTCCTGTTGTTACCCTTAGAAGGGTACGCCGTAGTAATGTGCATTATAGAAAGCTATCACTCGTGTTATGGGCCACATGCAATGCAGCATGTCTATGGCAACTCCGCTAATTCAATCTTGTTCTGTTTCTCCGTTGGACAATGGCTCTACTCGGGAGTAAGGCCACCAGCCAAAGGGTTTAGTTCTTGCAGCAGCACCCATTTATTACGCTCTGCAATTATTGGTGCGTGAACATACACGCATGTGCATTGTGACGACTTCAAGGGATCAAACCACCTGGGATAGCGCCATCGCGTGTGTTTGCGCCAGCATGCGACCACGTAAAGTAAATATATTGCACTAAAGAAACGATAAGTATAGATGGTTTTATGTCCGGCATTTTGCAATTAAACCGATCCGGTAGCTCTCGGCTAGCCTGTCCAGCGTCGCCGCTCAGGAATAAAGCCCCCCCCCCCCCCCAGTCGTCCGGCATCTGTGGATCTAGAAGTTGCCCCGCTGAGTTGAGGTGACGATCGATAGCCTAGGCTATTATCGCCCAGTCGTCCAGTCATCGTCGTCCGGCATCTGTGGATCTAGCAGTTGCTCCGCTGAGCTGAGGTGACGATCAATAGCCTAGGCTATTATCGCCCAGAACGCACTAAGTTGACATGAGTGAAGAGAGCGATGTCATTACCTGTCAAGTAAAATGCCTAAAAATTCCCGAAATTTGAAGTGTTTAGCACCAATTATGATGGTCGTAGAACTTTACATTTGACACCAAACGAAGCGGCGTTTTCCCGGTCAGAGGCCTATACTGTGAACATGGAGGGAGATCGGCTCAAAGCCAGGTCAGCCCCGTGTGTAGGGGTTTTACAATTTCGTGCTACATGATATACGGTTGCATGGCGACTTCGGCAGGTTGTTGGTTGGGTATTTGCGTGGTCATTGAGAGGTATTTTTTAAATGTAATTTGGACACCATTGGTAGATCATCGATGATACTGCACTGACGGGTTGGTAGATTACTGGCAGTGTTGCCGGGAACCAAAAAGGTAGCAGTTGACCTGAGGTTTGAAAAACAACTGGTTAGTAATTGGTTAGGAAAATGTGCTAGCTTTACTGACTTAGTTATCACAATGGAAACCACAAACCATTGGGACGCGACATGTCTGAGTTTATTTCACATGACATCTTCCTGGAACCCTAATGCGGCTCGTTTGTTTTTTGTTTTTGTTTTTGTTTTCGTTTTGGCTTGGAACGAATTGGGGCTAGTGCACCAATGGCACCATCCCTTTCTATCGCCCCCATCTTTAAGCAAAACCTTCCACACACTTGGCGAGCAAAAACGCAAGCGGCTGGCAAAAATGCCCCCGGCCAGGTGTGTGGACCACCAATGTATTTATTTAAAGGGGCCGATTACTTTGAACTTGTTTAAAAGCATGTGGTGAATTTTTTTACGAATCATTAGGACATTGCAATAGAACTACGAACTAGACCAACCGATCAATTCATATTCACCGGAACACCGCGCAGCTCAAGGATATAGTTTCTACAGGAATATCTGATAAGAGCTGTGACCTACATATGCCATTCCACAGTGCGGGGAGCAACGATCTCGCCATTCTCATTACAAATGCTAGAGGCGTGTTCTGCGTTTGTTTTCACATCTTAGTTCCTCGTCTTCTGACCTGCAGTGACTGACGCTGCCACGATAACTCTCTCAGGTCGCGGCCCGGCGACCAGCCGTACGAACTTAACGCCTCTGGGAACCCCTGGTGAACGCGCATGCTGGCGTGTGCGACCGCAGCAGGCTGATCTGCGACCCTGCGCGCACCGCGAGCAGCGTGTGGTGATCATCCAAGAAACAAGACGTTGACGTCCCTGGCGCCGGCATGTTGCATGCGAACAGCACGCTCACACACCCACGCCGCTGTGGTGCCGAGACACCGTGTCAGGCGGGTGCAGGCGCGAGTTGAGCACGGTGTCAAGCATTGTTGTCTTCACCGCGCGCGATGCATGGTTCACGTACACCGCCGCGCACGACAGGCTGTACTCGGCTAGGCGCACACGACCGTGGTGTATGCGTGTTGTAAGTGTCCGCGGTGTCCCGGATGTACGGCACGCGGGTTATTTGTCGGGCCCTCTTTGGCGCCAGTTCGAGCTGCCATTGGGCGGCGAATGCCGCTTTGTGACACACTGAGAACAGCCTCTGAGTTTCAAGGCAAGAGTCTTTGTCATGACCCTGGTATATTAAAAGTTAATGTACCGCAGAGGTGTAATGTGATTTGGAGCAGCGAGTGCGTCTTACGCCTGCTGCTGGGAGAGGCGACATCGCAAGCCTAGCCATACGCACATGTGCACTTCAGCTTCGTCATCGTTTATATGTGTACAAAGCTGTGCGCACACGGGCGGTGTTAGGAGTAAGAAGAATACCCTCCGAAACCTGAGATACTTGCGTGTACGTTTTATGTTCCATGTTCTCGGTCGCTGACAGTCGATTACGATGGCAAATGTCCACTCTCTATTCGCGCTTCGATTTGCATTAATCTTAGCTGGACAACCAACTCCGTTTCCCTGCTACTGCTATCATGCATGTCACTGCGAAAAACGACGACGAAAATTGTTCAGAAATAAAGGTTCCCGACGCCCTCGACCCCTGTGGGATCCAGCCGGACAACATCCAACTTCGGAGCGGATGTTGGAAGGGATGTCCGAGCGGATGTTGGAAGGGATGTCCGAGCGGATGTCGGAATGATGCAATGTCGGAACAAATATCGTACAGCCGAAGTCGCGCTATAATCGACGCCGTACCACGGAAGGGTCCCGGATTTCGTTGAGTTAGGGAAGGTCTAACAGTTTGCTTCCTGCAGTGGGCGGGGCATTCCCGCATCACTATTGAGTTAAAATTTTGAGATGTGGTCAGGTCTCATCCTATGCACGCTCCTCTGCCTTAAAGGCGGGCCCAATACTGGCTGCCTCATCATACATACTGCATGTTTATGATAGCGCGCGCCGTCATTCCCGATGGCAGCCTGGGCGCAAGTATTGCATCACAGGTGTTAAATGTATGTCATTTTGGCGACATAGGTCGAAACATAGGAGTTTCCATCTCGCGCAGACAAAACTTGAGCCGCTTGGCTATACTCTTGCCGTCGAGTGTCAGCTTTTATCAAAACAATACTTCAAAGCATCAAACAGATATCTGTTTTGAGTAAACACAACTCTTTTTTGTACGAAGAAAGAGAGGGATACGGCATAACCTAGCATGTCACGTATTAGCGGTTATTTTGCCAACATACTGAGAAAATAGTACCGCCTGAAGAGTGACGGTCTGTTCTATGCAAAGCCTAGTAGGGGCGCTCTGTGACAGAGCTCCTACAAACGCCGGCAGTTCAAGAGCTCTGTCATTTTGCAAAAATCGCGGTAGATATTTTTTCGCGACCAGATAGCTGCAGCCATGGCATGGAAAACACATTTAACAATGAAAAATACATACCACCGGTTAATAAGCACATATGAATGCCGCAAATTCTTATGCGAACTTCTCTGCTAGTTGCTAACGCCTTGGGAAAGAGCCACGCCATACATCACCTGACCTCATTTTTCATCTTCAGCTCAAACTGTCTACATCGTCAACCTACACCCGAACCGTTGGCAACCGCTCAGTGCGATTCGCTGGTAAACACGGCCGGTCCCCTTATCCCGGACGCGGCCACAGTTGTGATAAGCGCACTGAGGGTCGTGAGCCGTCCGAGCTTTTGCCGTCCCCAGGATGTCCGGCGGCCTGTTCTTCTTAGTTGGCTGGGTCGTCATTACACCGTTCCGCCCCGTCTGAGAATAGCAGCAGCGAGTCTATCTGCGGAGCCCGCTGCAGGGTGAGCTTGAGGCGACGGCTGGCCCCGTTGCCCAGAGTCCCCGCCGCATCGGCGACGACGGACCGCAGTGCCGGGTCCGTCTGCGGCGCCTGGTACCGGGCCCGTCCGCTCTGAAGCGGCTGGCGGCGGCTCAGCGCGGCGTGGCCGGCTCGCCGCCCCCGAGGGCTGCGCTGCCCGTGGCGCACGGCGCATGACGGACAGCCGGGCAGAGCCGGAGCGCTGGGGGCGGGCCCGGGCAGAGCCCGAGCGCCGGGCGGGCTGCTGCTTCCGGCAGCACCCGACGTGACCTCGACGGCACTCCAATATCATGTCTGGCTGCGTTACCAGGCGGGCGGTGCCAAACTCTGGCTCTGTGAGAAACGTCATGTGTCACAAACGCCTCTTGGATCGTGTCAGTCGGAAGCATGAATATTATGGCGATCATGTTTGGCCTCTCGGCACACCAGCTTCGGATGCGATGCGGCAGTTTACTTCTAGTCTTGATTCCAGCTGGCAAGCGCGCCGTGCTAGGTGGGGTATTTCAGCACGGCTGGCAGAAGACTTTCCAGAACGCTTCACCAATTGTGGGGCCTGTGGATCGACGAAAACAAACTTGGGTATGCAGCAATGATCCACGGGGCGTATGGACTTAGTGGGAAGCTTAGCTGTTATGCAGCTTTGTTTTATCAAGCATTATTGATGATATTGCCTGTGCTTGACGTTTCATGCTACGCTTATGCTCACGGGCCGTCAAGGCAAATAAGAAAAATAACGGCTACTCGTGGCTATAAACCCAGCTTGAATCTTCAAGCTTTGACTCACCAATAGTTGCTTGATTGCGTCGTTTAGCCAGCGCCTCCTGATATACTGAAGACCGACAATCGCAACAGAAGAGCTCTAAGCGCATCATACTGAAAACCAGGAGTCCAATGTCTGTCTTGCCTACAGCAAGTTATCGAGTACAGAGCCGCGGGATTGACCAGACCAGGCTGGTTTGGCGAGAATGGAGAGGATACCACACCTCCGTCATAGCGACCCTCACTGCAGGTAAGCACATCGCAGTTTTGCAGGTTGGAAGTGTATCACGCACATGAAGCGGGAGGAGACACATGACTGGCAGTGAAGGCTCTGTTTAGATCCGCCAAGGCTCCTTCAGTCAGTTTGTTATCACGCCTTTCACGGTTATTACGCTGCGGAGTGTTTGGTAATAGATTGGAACATGCAGTAGCCAGCTTACATCGCTCACCAAGTACCAGACATTGTATCACGACTGCAGGACGACAAAGGCACGGAGAAAACCCACCTGAAGTCACCCGTAAAAACATGCATAAGCACCTACGGTTTTACGTCCCCATGTCCTGCATTGCCAGACGGCTCGGCAGCTGTCAACAACCTGCCAGGTTCTCCGGCAGCAGACTTGTGCCTGGTTCCCAAGATTTCTTCCTGGGAACCGGTTCCTGGTTCCCGGTTCCGGAACCAGAAATAACCCAGGAACCAGTCTGGCAATAAGTCGAAAGATCCAGCAAGAGCCAGGATCCAGCTTGACAATAAGTCGAAAGATCCAACAAGAACCAGGATCCAGCTTGACAATAAGTCGAAAGATCCAGCAAAAACCAGGATCCAGCTTGACAATAAGCCAAAAGATCCAACAAGAACCAAGATCAAGCTTGGATCAGACGTAGGGACCTAACAAGAACCAAGATCCAGCCTGGAATTATGCTGAGGGATCCAGCAAGAACAAAGACCCAGCCTGGAATATGCATAGTGATACAGCAAGAACCAAGATCCAGCTCAGGCTTAAGATGGAGATTCGATTTCAGCAAGAACCAAGATCCATTCTAAAATTATGTTCAGGAGCCAGCAAAAACCAGAATCTTACCAGGATTTCTTCACAGCAGTTGCTGCTCACACTCCCCTCTTTTTGAAATCCAGCAATGTATACTGTTCTTAATGTAAATTAATAAAATTAAGTCTATGAACATTGCTGGTTATCCGCTCAGGCTGTTCCTCATGTACCATAAAACAAATTTGCTGTTCTTCGATGTTAATAACACTACAAATTCAGAAGAACATCAATGACTTGTCACGACACAGGTATGATGCAGTCCTGCTAGGTCTGCAACTGGGCTGTTAGCTGCCTAATGTTATCCTGAAAGGAAAGACCCGCTCTTCCGTACGGACATCACGGAAAAGTGAGTCTATATATATGTATATATATATATATATATATATATATATATATATATATATATTTTACATCAGAATAGCACAAAATGATTATCAATGAAATCGCGCAATAACCATCCACGACAACCCGCACTGCACCTCGCGCACCAATGTGGCGCCACCGCGCGTTACTCATCAAGGCCGCAGATAGGGAAGCTAATATCGTATGTTTCGCGTATCTAAAACCCAAAGGGAATATGACGTCAAGGAACTAAGCCTGCTGGTGGTGAGGTTACTCCGTGTGAGAATGCGGGACAACGGTTCTATTTTATTGACTTCTTATTGCTTACACCAAAAAACACACCATCTAACGTGTAATAATCAGTTTAAATCATCCACGACGATATCAGACACAAGCAAGGTTTGTAGATGTTAAAATGCAGTTTCTGATGACAACAAATGCACTTTGGGCACATAAAATGCCGAAAAGCTTGAGACGCAGCTGAAAAGAGGGGAATGGAACTTTCAGATGATTTTTCCAAGAATATGCTAGCATTTTGCACGGTTC